AAATAGCAAACCGGATATTACCGGACGAATATCACACTTAGTTTTACGGACCGGACTTAATGGACCGGACGGCACCCGAGTGTGGCCACTTCTACCAAGGACAGGGTGGACAATATGTTGCGTATTCTCCAGGGGGCGGAGGACTGAACATTGTACACGACTTTCATCGTGTAACCTAGGTGCCCCAAAGAGCCGCAAAAACATAAAAACAGCTGTAGAAAATAGCCTCTTTTGCAAATTACGTTTTTATGTGTAAGAAAATAAACGCAAACGCAAATAACAAGCCATCTCCAGAGAGTCCGAATCAGGGTGCCGAATTGCTGTGGGTTGTACGAGCAGCTGATTTCCTGGGGTATCTTCCATTATATGAGAGGCTGTGCAACGCCACACCAGTTCCAAAATATTCACCAAGCAATACTGCTAATATTGCGTGCCCATAATCAAGAGGCAGGCCTTTTGAAGAAGGCCTTCTTCATAATCACAGAGGGCCACCACTTGCCCTGCAACAAGTCGAAGAATTACACTATTATGGATTCGTCACGCCAGCATGAAAATTTGCAAGCATGTTTGCAGACATTCCAAGCTAATCCATCCATACTCAACTTGAGTGTGGACAGATTCGCTGGGAGTGATTGCACGATGGCGTGACGAATCCACAAATGGACGTTGTGCACTTGAGTGGCTTAAGTTGCACAGCAAAATGAGCTGAATTCGCCAAACTGCGTCATCACTCGTACACAAGTGCACGTCGGGAAACTGTGAATGTTAATCACGTGATGAAATGACAAGTCAAGGTGGGTGTTTCTGCGGTTTGAAGCCCGCAGTGAAGCAATTGTTTGATTGGAATGCAGCCAAACAACTTTGTACCTCAAAGCTCCTCATAAAAAATGCAATGGTCACTGTCAGACTGACATTGACATTGTCAATTTCGGTGCAGCGCTGCAGTGATTTGTCTAGGCCTATGCGCCAGCTAGGGAACTGCAGATACCGCTGAAAATTATAACATGCACAAGTACACATTACATATACACATATTGCAAGTACATATTTTTGGGCCCAGAAATACGTACAAAAAGTGCAGCAAAACTTTTCACAGTTACAATCTCAATGGCATGTAAATTAATCAGTGAGTGTCTGTGTCTGACCTGTCCATGGCGTCATCGCTTACAACCTCTGTTGTGGCGACTACGTCATTAAAGAAACACGCATAGCCGGCCCAAGCAAGAGCATCAAGATCATAATTGCCTGCCTCTTGCACACTCTTGATCTAGGTCGCAGTGTGGACAATTGCAACCCCGAAGACATGTAAGATCAATTAGTACACATCTGTGCCCAACCAATTCATGGTGCAGCTCCTGCAAACACAGGGCACCCCTCCTATTAGGTCCCTTTCCTAACCGGAAAGGGACCGCAACGTGGCCTTACGTGGGATGTTCTGTGCGCGACAAGTCACCAACACAAGTTGCCCCACCAAAAATGGCCCAACCCGTTGCGCAATGCCCCGGATGGCTGGGGCCTTGGTCGCTGGCCGGTATGCCCTTCCAGTCCGCGCTCCACGTATGGGGAGACACGCCGAAGAGGTGGCACCGAGGCGGCGGTTTGCCTTCTTTGAGCGTTGGTGGGCGTGTGGGACTCCATCGGAGAGGTACATGTAGCGCCCGTGCTGGAGCCAATCGTCTGGCGAGGCGGGTTTGCCTTGGACGAGGCAACATCGACCGCAGCAGCAATCCGCACAGGCTGTGTTACTGCAATGTCTCAACGTAACCAGAGGTCACGTTGAGACATTGCAGTAACACAGCCTGTGCGGATTGCTGCTGTGGTCGACGTTGCCTCGTCCAAGGCATCCATAATTCACGGGTCGCTGCTGGAAAATTGTTCGGTGGCATTGGAGCCTGAACCACGCACTCCTGCACCAGAGCACTTCCGTGACGAACGTTGAGTTTATTCTCTGTTGGAACTGATAGGAGCTTGGCCGGATGGCCAGACCTCGCCCCCAGGCAGTAGGCTGTGCCACTGCTTTCATTGGCTGGAGTTCCCTTGGTGTTTGGGCACCCATGTTCATTGGAACTCAGAGAGATGTCAAGTTGCCCCTGTGCTGACCTTTTCCTACTCATCAGCAAGTACGCCGAGTACTGCCAATGGGATTGTCTGCATGATGGCATTCTGAGTGCGCATGCAAATGGCGTCACGTTTTCCCAACTGGTTCGAAATGAATTGCCAACTTTATAGTGGCCAAAGTATGTTGGAGATATCTGTGCATCAGCACTGCAGGCAAACTGGAGTTTCGCAGGGGCTGGGTGAGTGTGTGCATTTTGTTGCCCAAGCAAGAACTGCTCATTTTCCAGGAGGACACCTGGCACGCACCCAGGTTCCTTGACACAAGGGCACTGTTTGCCAAGAAAGCGCAAATATTGTTGACGGGGGATCTTGTCACTGTTCAATGCTTGATACATGTTATCTCAAATGTTGGAAATAAATTTATTTACCACAACCTGAAGCGGTCTGGGGGGCATGATTTGAAGACTGCTTCCACTTTCCTCCACAACACATCCAAGCCCCCCCTTACTTCATAGCTTGCTCATACAATGCGACAATGGAGTGAGCGCATTCTGCTTGAAGCAGATGACATTTATGGTGATGCCTGCCTGATACGGTTCTGTGATAGAATCGTACACAAGCCATCCTGGATGCTGCTAGCGCAAGGCAGGACAATGTGAGCTGCTGGACCCCTGTGGCCATTCAACATGCATGCAGAATATGGCTTCATTCCATATTCCTGCAGGAAGGGATACCAGCATTGCCTGGGCTGCCAGGAAAGAATCCTGAAGGGATTGACATTTGTGGGGAAAGGTGGTTTCCTGGCCGCTTTCTGAAAACACAGCGATGAATGTAGTGGACACCCGACACAGTTGCTGGACTCCATCATCGCTTTGTGCCTTGTAGTGGCTTACAGCTTAAAGCAACAAGCTCCAGTTGAAAGAGGCCTGAAGTACAAGCTCAGCCCACAGTGGAATGCTTGAGGCAGAATAGCAGCGGGCTCAGCCAAACTCATGTTGTTAGACCAATGGAGCACATTTCATCAGTCATTGCTTTGATATTGTTGCTGCCCTCTTGCAGGAGCACTGTTGTGAGGAGCACAGGCAGAGGTGGAGTGGATGCCCAGAAGGCCCCTGTTTTAGTGTTTGATGTCATGGTGCGCGAGGCGATGGCTCTTGTGAGATTCCAAATGTTTGCTTGCAATCGGTGCCCAGAACTGCAAAGGCTCAAAGAACCAGGATTGAAAGTACATTGCTGACAAATATGTTGCATGGTGGGGATATCATTGAATTTTGTCCATTATTCTTCCAGCTGATTTCAAGGCCTCGTGGATGTTGAAGCATCACCTTGTGTTTCCGCATAGTGTGTTCACCGAGCATCGCATCTGGACTGTCCCACATACCCGTAAGTGCAGAGTTCTAGTGACATTGAATAGTATTATTGATGAATTTAGTACCAGCGCAGCAGATTTATCAACCTCCGCAGCATCCCCTCTGATGCAGTGGCCTGTTTCTGACTAGTTATTAAGCTTGGCTTGCCACGCTTGTTCAGGATACGATTGTGTACGATCCTTTCTACATAGAGATACCAAAGTTCTTTGGGACAACATTACAAGAGTTGTTCGAAGTGAAGCACCCCAATTCATGGGTACGTTTTGAGAAAGGAGAAATCTCTGAGCAGCAAATGCTGGACAATTTTTTCAAGGACAATCGAAGCTACGACAGTGAAGGTCTCTTGCAGACGATGGTGAGTGACTGGCAGGAGCTTGTGCAATTGCTGGCACTCCATATTGCCTTGAGGAAGGCTTTCAAGAATCTGCCTTGCTGCAATTGCAGCTGTGTTCTGGGGAGGGTCTTGCACATTTGCAGCTGCAGCCATGTGCCTTGGGTGCACTGAATGCAACCTTGAAACTGGGTGTCCTAAGTATCCTCTGGGACGTCCATGCGCAACAGGTGCTCCATGGTTATGCAGAGGGTGGTGGTGTGGGGGATGGGGAGGGGGATCTCGAATGCTTGGCAGACTTGCTTCTTTCTAGCGAGTTGTGCACATGTATGGTGGAACATTTCTCTCCAACTTGTGAGCACCTCCGCCAGGAAAGCCCTGCACTCTGTATTTGTGCAGAAAATTCGATCTTGCCAGCTGCCAAACTCAGCATTTTCCTTCGTTTGTGGTAATATCCAGCAGCAAACGAAAGCTATAATAACGTTGAGCTTACACTGATATGCAGGTGCGGTTGTGCAGTGTATCCCACAGGCTGATTTTTGTCTGTTGCTCTGGGAACAATTATGGGCATGAGTGCGGTCTCTTTACTACTCTTTTGGCAGATGCCACCATGACAGTGCAAAGTGCTGCTTGAATCTTTTCAGCCCAAGCGTGCAAGATTCCTTATTCCTTGTTCATTGAGTTCCAACCTTTGAAGATGGTACGGTGTGTTCTGGTGTCACAGCTGTGTGTGCTTCGCAAGGCCCCAATGTCGGCTACTTCAACCTCTTAGGACAGAAGGACATTGTCTGGGACACTGTTTTGTATTTCCTTTCTGCTGAATATGTCAAGCATACTTTATGGTGTTTTTCCAGCATGACAACTATCGTTACCTGGATGGCATGGAGGAATTGCTTCAGCAGCTTAATGATATGGCTTATGAAATGCATGCAATGACGAACTATCCAGAGTGGTACAAGTGAGTGCATATAACAAGTGGATGCCTGGCGATCTGTTGTTTGTGCTTCCAGTGTGATCTTGTGATTACCCCTGTATGCCAGCCAGTAGGGCAGCTGACAGTCCTGGTTTGTGTTTCAAAGAACTGTTATGTTTTTCGTTTGTGTTTTGTTAGCAACTCGACGCTGTTCTTGGGCACCCACCCCTGTTCGCTGGTCTGTCCCCACTGTTTCTGTACCTGTTCGGCGCTGTGATGGGGCAGTGCCTCATTTGCGGGTGCATAGGAGTCTGAGAGAGGCCGACAAGCAGTCGATACCATGACCTACATGGCGTGGTAATTCCATGAATTTCATTGTCCCAAATATACGACAAACAAACACCCTTGCACCCAGAAGGCAAAAACGGATGCAGAAACGTCCATGCAATGTCTGCTCTCAATTCCAATTCGATTGGAAGCACCAGTGGCCCTGTAACACATTTGAAGTATAAACGAGACGATTGCCCTCCCTTTGAGTGGCTCCTCTTTATGATATCTTGAGCCTGTGGCAATTTTTGTGTGTGCTTGTTGTGTGAACGCTGTCTAATGCACTGCCATGTTTGTTGTGGTTTTTGTGTAAACGCGTGGCCATGCTTGCCAGAATGCCAGCACGTCAGGGGAGTGTCCATTAGCTACATTCAGAGTACCATTGGAACGGAAATTCTCTCCTTTTGTTCGTTCACTGTGCCGTTGCTGCTAAATGTTTGGGGGCAAAATATCACAGGATGTAATACGATACAGATGCTGGCACCTTGGGAAATTCACGAGCTGCATGGTTTCTCTGTGCAGACTCATTGAGAAGAAGCTGGCGTTGGGCCGTTACCTGAACTGGACGTTCATATCCTGCACGGGGGCAATGAAGGTAGGCATGGGCGTCGAACGTGTCCAATTGGCTGAATGCAATCCAGCTTCAATGCGAAACAGGCAGAAACTGAAACACAATTCTCCTAGCTGGCCTTCAAGAGTGTGCTTGTGCCACAGCGGCAAACACGACTAACATGGTGGCGCATTGGCCAAACGAAGAGGGGGGGACGCCGCTCTGAGCGCTGCAGAGGATGGAACCCTTTCAGAACCTGCCGCATTAGATGCACTCTTGTGTGCACCCTCTATTGCAGATACAGAGATGGCTGCTCCTTGTCAAGGGTATGGGAATGCACACCAAAGCCCCAACAGGAATGCACTGCACCCTTCTGCGCGGGCAATCTGCATGGCGTTGTCAAGAGGGCCATGCTGAATTGTTGAAAGATGGACATTGTCCAGCCAGAAGGAATGCATGAGTAGTCGGGGGTGTCTACGCAGTGGGTGACAGGAGGGGAGATGAATATGTTCGATCGGTTGCTGGGAGAATTATGTTAGCTACATTGGTGGCGCTGTGCGTGCTTCCACAGGGTTTGAGGAAGCCTGACAAGGACGCTTTTGAAGTGGTGACTGCAATGCTGGGCTGCCCGCCAGCAAACATACTGCTCGTCGACGATCGCGAGGCAAATGTCAGCGCCGCCCGTAATTGCGGCATGGATGGGATTGTCTTCAAGAATGCGGAGCAACTAAAGGAAGAGCTCCGCAGCAGAGACCTGGGGGTGTGACAATGGTTTTGCTTTGGTATTGCATAGATGATCCAGATTCATTTCTTGCACATGCCAACACAAAGGCAAATCAGTGCACTCACACATTGTGGGCGATGTTGGGGATTTTTTGAATCCAAAGATTTGATTTGCTCATTTATTCCTCGATCACAGCCTCCCATGGCGGCTCTTGCACATTAGGAGCTCGGTCACTATCCCCAGTGCAATTATACGGCGTTTGTTACCTGGAGATGTTCGTTTCTTCTGACCGTACTTCATGGCAGACCCACAACTTGCATACAGCACGTGCTTACGCACTGCACTCTTGGCTGGGAAGTTTGAGGGGATTTGGCAACTGCCACTAAACATGAGACTCCATTTCTTACACGTACAGGACTAGTTTTGTCAAGTCCACCACCACTGCAGTGCGTGGTGCCCATATCAGTTGAGGGAGTTGTGCCCCACTTCTGGAATGGGTTGCAGGGCAATAAATTGGACATATCACAATGTTGACGGGTTCACAGGAGCACTGAAACTGACAAATGATTTTGCGTACTACAATGCTTCTTGGATGATTGAAACGAGTCCTGTTGCCATAGCCGACATCCAGTGGTCCTTCTGGGACAGTTCTGCAAGAGCAAGAGAACTTGGGGAAATGCATGCATGAAGGACAGAATAGTGCTCGTGGATGTGCACAAGCCTGCCATTGCCTGCATGGAGCAAGGGCGCTGCTTTATCTTTCGAGCAGATATAAACAAAGGAATATAGCGAGGCAATGGGATAGCATGCTGCTGCCCACACATTGCCATCCCGAGCAACAGTACATCTTCCCATCTGGGAGGCAGGGCTGTGGCCCTTAAGCATCCAACGTCGAATGAAACCATTCCTTTGCACAGGCAGTGCCCCACTTACTGGATCATCGAACAAGAGCCAATTCTTAGGCGGTTGTTCGATAGTGCGGGAATCTTCTACCACAGCTTGAGTTCGTACATGTTCTCACTGCATTCAGCAATTACCCATTTGGCAGCCAGTAACACCTGCATGTGTGGTCAGCCAGGCAATTAGCACATGCAGTTACAAGCTCTTTCTAATGGCCTCTTCAGAGGTAAGCATGCCTGCTGGTGGACCCCAACGCGGCAAAACCCACAAAATGGGATGTCCCTTCCCAAAGATATGTCGAAAATGCTCCAGACTTGACTCCTGTGCTGTGCCTTGCTGCCCCTTCAGTGTCTGGATGTATGTTTGGCCTCTGGAAACCTGCTGCACTTGACTGTAAAACAGCACACCCACGCCAATGAACCCACTGGCCGCCACAGAGAAGACATACCAGGCAGCCACCACCCACCAGGGGGCGGAGTCGACGTAGTACACCAACATGTTGAAAGCGCCCAAATACCATTTGTGCTGCAGGGCGTGCCTCAATGCCAGCTTTGTGCTGTTGCTTCTGACCACAAGCCATCCACTAAGAGATATTGCATAAACAGCGCCTACGACTACCCAGAATAGGAAGAGGAGAAAATTCCGCAGGTTGTTGCTTCCCACGCAAGTCCCAATGAAAGGGCAATGGTGATCCATGCCCAGCACACACTTCCGACAGGTGCTGCAGTGATGTGCACTTGGAGGCTTGGGGCACTTGCACCGGCTGCACCACAAATAGCCATCATACAAGCCAGGCAGGACCCGCCCATTCTCATCGATGCCATGTGGCAGGGTTTTGGAAGCATAGCCTGGACCTTTGATTATGGCTGCAAAATAATTGAAGAACACGTTGAATGATGCCACAGCTGCCACTGTCCCATTGAACATCCAGCCTGCTGTAGTTCTGAACAAGTGGTTGAGGACACCCACATAGCCCAAAACCACCACAGAAGCCAACAGGAAGAGCACCACGCACACAATTATTCCCTGGGCAAAACAATAGCAGCACGTCTGGCACTGGCGGCATGGAGACCTCTTCTTCTCGGGTGCCGCCAGCTGATTTTTCCCAACTTCAGACACCGCTCCACACCAGCCGCACTACAACAAGAGATATGGGTAAGTAAAATTCTGGCGCTGCAGGACATGACATTCAAGAGAATAGAGACAACCTGAAGGCCCAGGCAATCGGTGCTGTGGCTTCAAGGCTTTGCAGACTTGTGAAGTGCCAATTATTTGCAGCATGAACGATTTCGCACCAGCTTTCCATCAGCAGTTGCAGCAAATGAAAACCAGAGGGCACATGACAACAACTGTAATATTATGTTCACCATACAGCAGCCATCAATAATATCAACAGAGCCGCATACAGCAGCCATTTCGATACTTTGGGAAGAATGTAGCGGTGCACTCGTCCGCCAAGTGACCAACTGAGCTCACAGACGAGCCAACATCCTAAAGGTTGTACTCAAGCTGCGCACACACAAAGCGGTTTCCCAGCGCACAGCTGGATCACGACATCCCCGCGCAGATGTGCACTGTACGCAAACAAAGGCTGCTAGTCCACAGTAGCCTACGCCTCTGCATCTGCTAACCGGGATCCTCATCTACACGCGAGACAGCCCCACTGCGTGCAACGCCCCTACCCTGTTCCTCCCATGCCAGGTGTTACTCCACCATATCCCCACCGAAGAATTCGTGCAGTGAATCAGCGACATGGCTGTTGGCGGGTGACGACCCGGGTTTCTACAATGCTGCGAGAACTAGAGAGGTCGCGGACGTCGTGCGCAAAGGCCACAGGATACTGCTGTTCCCTTACCTTCACAAGGCTCGCGTTTTTGGGCAAGTTCGGAAGCTCCAACGTCACACCACATGCCCAGCAGGAAATCAGCCCTTGCTCAGGGACGCCGAGGTCCGACCTTTCCTCGAGCGCCCCCATGGCGACCCAGCACCCCCCCGGGCAATCGCTGTGCCCTATCGGTCGCCTCATGATGTTCAAATAAATGCTCGTATCCTTCAAAAAATGAATGGTAATGCGGTTGGATTGTGGCAATATCTTGGGTACCCCTGTAACAAATCACGGACACCGCTTTGCTTGGGCGGAACAGCGAGCTGATGGCCACCTCCTCTCCTTGGTGTGCAGGCCTTCGCGATAATAATGAAACAATTAAGTTAACGCACTGGCTGCTCCAAACTCGCCCGAGTGCGTGGCACGACGTGCTCACTTGCACCTGGGCCCTCACCGGCGCCCCGTTCAGCCATACGATACGGCCAAGGGCACAGCCTGGCACCGCCGGTACCAGAAGGGAACGCAGCGTCGGAATCCAGCAGCCCAGCGTCAGGTTGCCAGTGGCCCTCCCCAATAAGGTTCCGGATCGGAGCCTCAAAATTCGTTAATTGCTACTGTCCGCCTTTCCCCATTGCGGTGCGCTTTCCAAGCGCAAAGCCACCGTTTCGACAACCCGTGACGCGCCTGGAACCAAAGAGCCCTAAGTCCATACCCTCTGTGCAAGCCCGCCTGGCGCAAATCAACGTGCAAAACATTGAGAGCCCCGGCCCCGCGCGACGGGATCCCCGGTTGGGCATGTTCCGCCCCGTTCGCGAGTGCGCCCCTTGCCGCCTCCCTTGACAACCGCCCAGCCAGCGCGGCGGGCTTCATCTGCCCATCGAGAATGGGGCCATTGTGGTACGGGCCAATGCCCATCCGTGTCCGCAGCATCGAAAACTGGTATCCCCCAGTACCAGAACCTGCCAGCCCGCCCGAACCAGTAATCATCCGACCGATGAAAGACGGGCGCGGCGCGTGGCGTTAACTCTCCGCGACCTGCGGCGGTGGGGGCGCGAGGGCGAGCGCCGGTGACCCGTGGGCGCCAACCGAGCGCCAGTCAACGGGGAGCAGCCCCGCGGTCGTCACACCGGGCGGCCCATGCCGTTGGGGTGAGGCGGGAATCGGGCCGGCGGGGTGGTGGTGGCAATCGAACGATGAGCTCTCGGAGAGCCCCGCGCATCCCCCAATCTTGCCCGCATTGTCGCCCCCCATGGCCGCCACGGGAAATTTGAGGGCGGCCATGGGCCCGGGGCCCGGCGCCGGGCGGCCCGGGCGCAGGGGGGGATGCGCGAATCAGCTTCTCACCGGCGAGGGTTGGCGGCGATCTGGGCAGCAGGCGCGCCAGAATGCGGGACGAGTGCTCCGGCGGGCCGGGGGGGGAGGTCGGCCTGGCCTGGTGCGGGGCCGGGGCGGGCCCGTCGTACACCTGGCACAGCTAAGTGGGGTGGCGGGGTGTGGGGGTGCGCTGCGTGCATGCACGGCGCATCGTTGCCATGGCGGGGATCGTGCTGCAGGGCGGGCTGACGCGGCTGCCGGGCGCCTGAGCAGCAAATTCGCAGAAAATCGTGCTGCGATGGCCTGCCGTCCGCGCCACCGACCGCGCAAACCGTCTTTCCCGCGGACGTTGTTGGAAGCCGCTGCGGGCGGTGATTGTTTTCAGCGGCTTGGACTTTCCCACGCCGCGCTGCCGCGTCCCTGCGGTGCTGTGCCCGACCCGCGAAAAGGCGGCTCTGCCGGGAGTTGTCCCAAGAGCCGTCGCTGAGGGCGCCGCTGGGTGCTTGTCCTTGGGCTCCGTGTGCCGGTGAGCCACCCTGTGCATGTTGCCCGGCGGTGACCTTCCGCGGAGGCGGGTGGTGTGAGAGCTGTGCGAAAAGTGCATCACCGCGTGTCCAGCTTCTTAGGACTGCGAGGGGCCTGTATGCCGGACTCCCCACACGGAATGACCAGGGAAGGTTGACTCCAGGAGAGTTCGTCACCGCCGAGCGCCGTTCCGCGCCCCAGCCCAGCCAGCTGCGTGTGTGAAATGCGGGACTCGTTGCCTGGTCCTGACAATGTGGCCTGCTGCGAAGGCTTTGGGTACCCTGTAGTTAAGGGACAGCCCCACTCGCTTTGACCTGAGGTGGCCTTGGAATAGAAACTGAGGCGTGCGCTTCACCTGAGCAGCCCTGGGGCTATGGTGTTCGGTTCCTGATGTTTGGCCATTTCTGTGCAGCAGTCGTGCCTTCTACAGACGAGCACCAGCCCAGGGCAGCTTGCCACACAGCCTCGCAGGGGAGCCAGCTGTCTTTCCTGGAAGAGGGACCAAACGTCCCTAAGGGCTGGGATAGGTGCTGCTGTGCCATGGCAGCTGGAATGAGCATCTACAGCATGGCAGCAATTGGTGAGGGTCCTCAAGAGCAAAATGGCTTGCGTGAGAAAACACCAGACATAACAGACAGTGAGGAACTGGACGCAGAAACAGAGGACGACGATGATGCAGTCCAGGCAAGGATGTGGGAGGAGTACCTTGAGCTGTTGGAAGCGGCGAAGTCAACGCTGCCAGTTCCATTTCGAGATGATGGGCCTCCACTGGGGTATGAATTTGATGACATTCCCAGCTCAGACGAAGGAACAGTGCGGAAGGAGAAAAAAAGCAGTGGGGGGAAGAGCGGTCGGTCTAAAATGATTGGACTTGATGACTACGAAGCTGAGGCAAACGCCGATGGGAAGATTCAGGTATGTCACAAGTCTTTGCACGGACTTTGCTGAAATAGTGGTGACCTTTTGCTGCCGCTGTCAAGTGGCCAACCTTGGCTTGCTGAGTGCTCCAATGGCCTGAGCAACGCAAGCACTGTGTGGGTCTGTGCTGAGATACTTGGTGCTGTGCAGGGCATCCGCAAGCGAAAGACAGGTGGGGGATCCAGCGGGCGCCGCAAGGCGATTAGCGCTGCCACGTTTGAGGAAAAGCTCCAGCAGAAACGGCAACAAGAGCTTGCGCGAGCAGAGAAGAAGCGGTTGGAAGAAGAGAAAAAGGCCAAACGTGAAGCAGATAAAGCGGCACAGAAGCAACGTAAAATGGAGCAAACCATGAAGAAGGTTGGTAGGCTGGTGAACCATACACACTGAAGTGTATGCTGATGCTATGTCAGCTGTTGTTGCAGAGCACTTTTGGCTCTGAGTTTGCTGCTTGATGTCAAAGCTTAGGGACCATGTGTTTGCTGGCATGCTTGCAGGAGCAGGAACGGCTTGAAAGGGAGCGCAAGAAGGCACTTGAACGTGCTGAACGTGAGCGTGAAAAAGAAGAGCGCAGGAAAGCAAGGGAAGAGGAAAAGCTGCGGGCGCAGCAACTTCGAGAACTAAAGAAAGTGGAGCTGCAGAAGGAGAAGGAACGGAAGCAGTTGGAAAGAAAGCAACAGCAAGAGAAAACTCGAAGGTGCTGGAATGTACTTGGTGCAGATGTGTAGCTATTGAATTTTTGCCCCGTCTACTTGTTTCTGAGTGTCATTGTTCTGGTGTCTAGGGAAAAGGAACTGCAAAAGGCTTTGGTGAAGGCAGCAACCAAGGCCCTGCAGAAGCAATTGGATGCTGGGCCACCCGATGATGAGGACCTTGAGTGGGAAAAACTGGTTGAATCCCAGAGAGCCATCGGCTATGGGTCCGACACTGGCGGTGGTCCCATGGAACCGAGACTGCTTGAAAGGCCAGAGTTTCCTCCACCTACGCTGGGCCTGAAGAGTGCCTTCCCCCACTTTGGAGACAAGGTGGGGTGACAGAAGCTTCAACCTTTTCCTTCAGTTGCAAAGTGTACTCCCGTAGCTGATGCTATCACCAGAAGCTTGCAATGCACTGTATAGTTGGCTGAATCGCTTGCAAGTGAAGTTGCTGTTGTGCTGCTGTTGCTTGTCCATGCATGTTGACATCTGCCCACCCTAAAGTTTGGCTGCCAATTGTTATGCAAGCCAACCAACGGAAGGGAGGAGAGAAAGGCTTGTGTCCAGGCAAGAATCGTAGTTATTCTTGTGTGCCTCCCTCTATCGGGCATTGTTCTTATGATGACAGATGGCCCCTGGACACCTGAACACCCCGCACCATGACATCTTCTAATCATAATGCACGAGGAGCCTGGAGCACAAATTAGCGGTGTTTAACTTGGGCATGCTGTGTTGTTCTATTGCAGGTTGGGGGAGATATCCTGATGGTGTGGTCATTTGTTCATTCTTTTCGTGAGGTTTTTGGCTTGCAGCCATTCACGGTGGATGACCTGGTGGAGTCTATCTACGAAGGGCAGTCCTCCAAGTTGCTCAGCACCATCCACATTTGCCTCATCCAGATCCTGCAGGCAGACATGGAAGAATCGCACAACCTTGTGGTGGTCCAGGGAGGTGGTGGCACAGCCAACTTTATGGACCGTGCTGTCGTAGCAACGGCAGCCATCCTAGATGAGGCCTGGGCTTGGGGCTTTGATGTAGATGTCTGGAGAGCCCACCTCAACGAGTTAACCTGGCCAGAGATCTTCCGTCAGCTTGCGATCGCAGCTGGCCATGGCCCTCGGCGTCCCAAAGCAGGCAAGGACCCCAAACCAAAGTTGGGCACAGAGGGTGAGGATGTGGTTGTGGATGAGTCTGGTGGGCTACGACTGAAGATGCCTTCCAGATTTGCTGCTGGCACTGTCAAGGCAGCTGCCTGGCAGGTACTGGCAGAAGCTGGTCCGGAGGGTCTGTCGATCGCAGAGATCGCCAAGAGGATACAAAAGCAGGGGCTGAGGGACCTCAGGACATCAAAGACACCAGAAGCATCTGTGGCGGGTGGTTTGTCAAGAGACGTTGTGTTCACAAGGGTGGCTCCAGCCACGTATGCCCTCCAGGTGAGCACCTACTTTCAAGCACTTCTGCTCAGAATCTGCTGTGCACCAAGGCGAGTGTGCAGACGAGTGACGATCTGTGTGTTGCAGGCTGTTGTTGCGTATCATCGGCGACTGCTGCAGAATGCGGCTGCTGGCGATGGTGATGCACAACAAAAGGAACTTGCCAAGAAGATGGATGATGTGGAAGTCACAAAACAGTCCCCTGAAGATGTCAAGAATGATGCAGATGAGGGTAACTGCACTCCGGCCCATGTGGATGACTTGGACGCCACAGATGACGAGGAATTGGCTGATGAAGATGAGGCCCCTGGGGAACCCTGGGTGTGCGCTCTGATAACCAATGACTACGATGCGCTTTCATTTGAAGACAAATTGGCAGGCCTGGTGACACTGACTAATATGGGCCTGGATGGTCCCACCATCCGTTCCTACCTGGATGCACGTCTTGATACCCAGTTTCAGGCAAGGAAGCGACAGGCTGAAGAAGCAAAGGTGGGCAGACACCGTTTTGCAAACTACTTATGTACATCTTGAATGTGGCTGGTGGCACTGCAAGTGCACTTCAACCTTGTAACATGTATCTCGTGGGAGTTGCGGCGAATTTATGCATCGAGACTGTGAAATATTGCAATGTCTGAACCCCCAGTACCTACAATGCACTGCTTCCTTGTGACCCCAGGCCCTAAATGCCCAGGCCACTTGTGTGCAGCTGGTAATCGGCAAGGGGCAGTGCTTGTGCCCCTTCGTGCACATTGTGCCCTTGCCTTTGGCACATAATTTTCACCTTGTGTTTCGCCTTCTGTGAACAGGCTGAGAAACGAAGAAAACAAGCAGAGGCTCAAACACTTGCTGAACAGGCAGCTGAAGAAGCTCAGCGTCGGTTAATGCAGTTGCGGAATCCTTCCAGTGACCTTCTGGCTCCTGCACAAGCAACCACTGATGCCAGGATGCCTGATAGTCTCACAGCTGGAAACCAGCTGGCACCCAACAACGCCATTGACTCTGCCATTCAGGATGCCATCCTCGACCAGGCCAATGCAACCCCACCACACACTTCTGGAGCAATTGCGAACTCAGCCGCATTCCCCCTGACTGCTGGAAAGCCAGCAGAAGGCGGTAGTGAGACTAAGAAAACGGAAGTGGTCGATGACAGTCAGGCCATCCGCTATGAGTCGCTGGGCATGGATCGTCGATTCAATCGCTACTGGAAGTTTGCATCGACTTCTCAGGATGGGTCATGCAGGGAGGAGGATCCTTGCACTCGATGTGTGTTTGTGGAGAGTGTAGCCGATGGCTCATTTCGGTTGCTTGAAAGGCCAGGGCAGCTTGGGGAACTGAAGGCTGCACTTGACACAAGGGGTGCCCGAGAGGGGCCTTTGTTCAATGCACTTGCTGAACAGGAACGCAGCATAAGGACCAATGATCCTGGCTGGCGGGAAAGGCCAGGTATGTGCACCAGTGCATGGACACTGGCGCATTGACGTTGGTCTTTCTTTGTGTGTGTGTGCTTGTGTGTGTTGAGATGCATGTTGAGGCCCAATCATGCAACGATGGCCCTGTGTACCCGAGTGAACAATGCCTTTAGGATTTTCATCACTATATGTCCACTGCTGGCAGAAAAAGCCAGAGAACCGACTACATTCAGCAGAGCAGAACTGTAGCCAAGTGTGTTGTGCATGCTTGGGCCTTTGTAGTTGCTGCTTGGGCAGGCTTTGTCCCTGGGCGGATGCAGTTCTTTCATCTCTGTAGCATTCACTCATTTTTTGGTTGTTTCCTTGGTGACAGTGGTTGACCCTGAATTCCAACAAGCTGTGAAGCGAAGACGCCACAACTCTGACTGGTTCAGCTCGATTTCTGTGGTCGCACAACGCTGGATCGTTGATGATGAGTACGTCTCAGAGATCGATGCCCCTGCTGCTGCACCTGTACTGCGGAAGTTGAAGCAGGAGCTGCTTCGAATGGAAGCAGTGTTGTCCCAAGATTGCTTTGAAAACTGGGATAGGTATGTGGCCCAACATGCTCACAAACCTACAAAGTAGTTGTGTGCAACTTCTTGTGACAGCCTCTGGACATGACAGCCCTCGTGCAGGGATATTCGTCCTTGTGTGTGGGGATATTGGCGCGCTGTTTGGCAAGGACATTATTGGTTATCTTTGCATGGGCCTCTGGCATGACTGCCTCAGTCGCCAATGTGCTTTTAGTGAGCAACAATAACTTGGGTATGACAGGGCAAGATCCCCCATGCACAACCCCATAACCAGTCTCAGGCTGCATTCCTTAGTGTGACTTGCGGTAATCTAATGTGACAAACTTGCAAGTGAATGGACAAGAGGCCAGCATGCGTTTGTGTCTTATGTTGCTGTTGCATATGCAGTTGTGTCGTGGAGCCTGAATTCTGTGCCTGAAGGCATGAGCATTTCTGGATTCCGGCAGTGGGGGCCCTACAGATTGTGGAAGTGCTCTTGCTCGATGTTGTCTGCAATCTGTGTTGCTTTTGCTCTTGCATGCCTTCCCTGTTCTGGTGCACTGTGCGTCTTAACTCATCCCCCTTGGCTCTTCAGGTACCAGTGGATTGAGGCAGTCCGGGCAGTGAACAGTGTGGAGGGGTTGCGTGACTGCCTCGGTCGGCTGGAGGCGTCACTCATTCGGCTTCGTGTTTCTCCTGGCTTCAACCGGAGCCCTCTGCTTGTGCAAGGCGCCTGGGTGAGGGTGGGTAGCGAGGTGGCTAGTGCTGTGCTGGGGAAAAAGGGGGAGGTGCAACAGCTGCCAGAGGCCTCCATCTGCCCTGAAGGTAAGATACCCGAATTGAAACAGCTGGTTTGACAGCCTTGGAGGGAGCCATGTGGATTCGAGCCTGGAGAAATGCAAGTTTATGTGGTGCTCGGCGTTCTTCAACACGTTTGATAATATGCTCTTACTATGACTGCTTCTGTTTGCAGACATGCATGGCACCTACGAACCACTGGCATGGTTGCCAACGACCAACTCTTCCATTGCTCTCCGGCTTTTGGCCCTCGATTCCGCCATAATGTACAGGAGCAATGTACCACCTGCGAGGGAGACTCTGCATGTCTACAAGTACATACAACGGCCGGCTGCACCTGATTACCATCATCGAGAGAGTCCTGTAAGCACCCCAAGTGTAATGCCAGACTGCAAGAGGAAAGGGAAAGGAAAGATATTTTCAGGAGACCCAATTGGCTTGGGTGGACAAGTGATCGCCTCTGTTCTGCCAGCGTTTCCTCACACTTTAGTGACGAATGAGGAACGGCAAGAGTTTACTATCAAGGTAGGCTGCTGGATTGGAGGTGATAGCACAACAGTATTAAATCTCCACTTTGTCTGAAGTTGATTGCAACCTTTGATTGTCAACACCCATTGACAACAGAGGATATCGACTGTGCAAACTGCTTTGAGCTGGATCATTGGGTGTCTTAAGAATGAGAGTCCTGTATGTATGCTGAGTACGGAGCCCTGCTGCCTGTGTCGGACACCAGCATGGAATGAATATTGTTCTTGCTGGAATTTTCCGAGGTACAAGGACAGATTTCCCCGCATGTGGAGTTGAGGGACAACACAACGTCAGGTGCCTGGTTATTCCAGGCTCTGGCTTTTTTGAGGTGCCTCCAGGATTCTGAACTTTCTCACTGCCATTGCCGATGCTTAGCCCACTTTGGGGCCAGTATTGAAGTGATGTTGCGCTCGCTCATTGACAAAGCTGGCCTGTACTCAGATTGATGAGCTGCTTGAAGAAGTTGCCCAGGCCGAAACAGACGGGACCATGCACGATCCAATGCCGTTGGTTTCCACTTCGGGACGTGGAAGGGGTAGACGGGGCGGCGGCCGTGGCAGAGGGCGTGGAGGCGGCGGCCGAAAGGGCAGAAAGCGCACCGCGCTCGCTCTGGAGCTGGACAAGATGTCTGACGACGATGATGTGACAGAGGACAACGGATTGTCAGAGGAGATGGAGCCGTCCAGCTACGAGTACAAGTCCGGATCAGTGTACAACCCTGTAAGCAGTCACGCGGGCTCAGGGGCTCAAACGGTGAACTACTACGAAGACGAGGCGTTCTTGGACGCGCTGGAAGGCCTTGAGGACGGCAGGGAGGGCGTCCTGGACGATGATGACGATGAAGACTTTCAGTTGTGAGGATTATTTCCGGGGTTTTTGAGCGACGCTTCGGCGGTGTAGGTAGTCATGGACTCGGAGTCGAGACGACACGTTGCGGAAGCACAAAGAAATTTCATGCTGGGGCACAGCAGGGGGGCTTGTGGGGCTCACTGAGTGAGGATGCCATTTCGTGGGGACATAATTAACGGCATTGTATTGGCCAAAGAGCGGAATGATGGCTGGAATCGTTGCATCTGAATAGGTAGCCAAGCTTGTAACCTACAGGTGACAAATTCTGCATCTGCAGGTGTGGTGAATGCGAGGAGATGCCCACCTGGGCCAGCAGGCAGTGACACGTGCGTATTTGCTAGTTGCTCAGAGGAAATCCGCGCTGTGGTTGAAATATGCTCAGTTGACCACCAGGGAAAATTAACATGCTGAAGAAGTAACCAGGTCCAGTGTGGGTTCTCCACCACCCTGGAGCTGGACGTGAGAGATTGCTATGTGCCTGATGGAGGTAACGAGCTAAAAGCAGTGCCACAAGGAGAAACCCCGCATCATTCCCAAAGACGCTCTGCACCAGAATGGTCGCATTGTTACATCTGCTTCCAAGCCATACACACTTCGCTGCATCGCATTCTGCATCATCAGAATTCGTCCACGACGTCGTCAGGCCATGCTCTGCCACCCATGGCATCGCGCTTATCACCTCCTGATGCCCTGGCTGAAGCGTGTCTCTCTGTGCAAATCACATCAAAAGCCAATGAGAAGGGATGCCACATCTTCAGAAGTGCACATACAAATCTGGAGTGCACACATCTGTGCCCGAGCGACTTTCAACTTTTTCAAATAATTTAGGCAAACAAATCGCGTTTGCGACTGTTCCAGACAGGTTTACAGCCCTGGTGTTGGCAAAAGGGGCATGTTGACAGCAGCACATGTGCAGAAGCACTATGCCAGGTTTGGAAGCCATCCACAGACAGCATGCACACAATCCACGCCCTGAAAGTAAGGGACCAGCACATCACTGAGATAACCCAGCAACCGACTTGCACAACAGCAGCGAAAGATGCAGAAATCGAACATTGCTCAATTGCTGTTGTGCCCTTCATCGCCTCTCCGGTTGCAAGGGCCCTGTTTTGTCGCGTCTTTTTGACAAAGGTGACGACCGGAACTCAAACATTCCAGCTGCAGGTCCCTTTCCCAAAACCAGCAGTGCTCGCACTCAGTTTCAAACTTGGCTGCCTTTCCACAACTAGATTGAAGTCCAAAGTCTGGGCACCTCGCTGTGACTAGGGCTGAGCTAACTGTCCTCGCATACTTCAGTATCCTACTGTTCTTACTGCGCGTTTGTGCAACACAATTGCCACCAACTGCATGGGCAAATTTTGCCAGACACAGGTGGACTCATAGGCGACCGATGACATGAAAATGCCAAGTTGTGGTGCCACACTAGGTAAGGCACATCTTGTACGAGGAGGTGTTCCTTTTGTGATGCACGCAGTCCCATTCACAGGGGAAGGTGCCCTAAACTCCTGCAAGCTGTGCACAGCTTCAATGTGGATGGTGGTTTTCACCCGGACTTACTGAGGCATTCCTAGCCAACGTGAACATGACCATAAAATCAAAACATTGATTCCGTTCAGTTTTCCATCTGTCTGCTCGTGTTTCCAACTCCCATTTGTGACCATTTCACAGTCCAAACCGGTTGCTATGTCTGGGGTGGCCACAGCCTACGTGCAACCCAATCGCAGGACAGCAAAACGTCAACGGCCCCATCCTATCATATTGGCACCAAATCTCCACCCCAGCACGCCCGCTGGCGTGGGCAAGGGCAATGTGGCGTCACGGACGCGGCCCCGAGGCGCACGGCCGCCCTGACAATCGCACCTCGGGCGTGGACGGAGCTGCTTGCCCTTGCCGACGCGCGACCACCCACAGATGTGGATGACGCCGACGACGACGAGGAGGCACCCCCCTTTCCGTGGCTGTATGAGTACGACTCCGCAGAGCGGCCGTCCTTGCTCACCCGCACGCGGCCCCCTTGCGTGCCGTCGCTGCTCACGAACTCCTCCTCATAGTACTCTGCGAGGGATGGCTCCGTCAGCACCCGCAGGCCGCCAGGGCTAGGACGCCGCGTCGAGAGGCACACAGTCTGCGAGCATGCGCCAAGCTTCGGGGGAGCCCAAGGCCCCTTGCCTTTGCGCCCCCCGCACCCCCCCCCCCTCTCTTCGTTTCCATGCGTCGTGACGAACATCCGATGTTGAAGGCCGCGCCACGCAGTCGCATCCAGCAACAGCGGGCGCCCAACTCTAAGGCGTGGCCGTCCCAGGCAGGCAAGTGGATTCGCATGCTTGCAGAGGCGTGCCGAAGAGGGCTCAGGCACCGTGGCGGAATGGGAGGCCGGCCTCCGTGCATGGTCCTCGCGTGCACCTCACGACCGTCCTCACCTTGAGACGCTCGCGCCACGCCAGCCACCAACGCGCACAGCGCCAGGGCGAGAACGAACGCTTGGCATTGTCTCATGGCCGCTGCCTGTCCGCAAAAGGCGCAACCTGAACACGCCCGCAGCCTTTCGCAGTCGCTACGACTTCCGTGATAAGGCCAGGAGCAGGGACACGTTTTAACGTGTGTTGGCCACGGAACCTTTTGAGCCTGTGCCAAGGTACGCACGACACCCAATCCTCAAAACGGGCGTACGCTGTTTCAACGTTAACGGGATGATCGGTTGTACTTTTGCAGCTAGAACTGATTGAGTGTGACGAAGGCAGGCAGAATCGAGGGGTGGCGATCCCTGAACGGGAATTGTACGCTCGAGTCCACGGCAACGGTTTACAGCCGAGGCAAAAGGACAAGAGACATTCCGTCCTTTATACTCAGTCTGTTCATCAACATCTTTAATGCAATTCCTAGTGCTTCGTCATCTTTTCATGCATTCAGTTATAAACAACACTCAATCAGTTCTAGCCGTAACAAGTGTTATTAATAACTGAATGCATGAAAAGATGATGAAGCACTAGGAATTGCATTAAGGACGTTGATGAACGGACTGAATATAAAGGACAGAACGCCTGTTGTCCTTTTGCCTCGGCTGTAAACCGTTGCCGTGGGCTCGAGCGTACAATTCCGCTCGGGGATCGCCACCCCTCGATCTTGCCTGCCTTCGTCAGTACCGCGTGATGTTGTAACCAGAACTGCTCGAGGACTATCAACGCCAGATGACGAGGCATTCGGAATTGCATTAAGGACATTGATGAGAGGACTGGATGTAAGGGACAGAATTCCTGTTGTCCCTTTGCTCCGCTGTAAACCGTTGCCGTGTACTCAGGGGTCACCACCCCCCGACCTTGCCTGCCTTCGTCAATGCGTTTCCAACGGGTTCGTCTCAAACCATTTCGTACTGAAAATGATGCCAATTAGAAACTGTTCGGCGAACCACATAATGAGCACCGTTTCACTGGGTGACTCACTTCCGTAATCGGTTCCCGATGGGTATCGACCGCATGTGCAATGAACGCTGCATGGGATGGCCTGAGTATGCCACCATTGCAAACTGTAAAAAAGGGGGGAACATTAAAAGAAATAAGGAGTGAAAATGCCTCTGAAACATGAGGGCTGTAATGCCTTGGGGGTGAGCTTCACCGAGGAAGGTGAGGGAAGCGGGAGCTGCTTGGCTGGAGTCAGTCTGTGCCTTCAAAAGAATCGTGTCACTGATCAGCTTCCCAGACTGGTCAGGTCAAAGGCTACTCTGGGAGGTCTTGCAGCGTAAGGGTGTAGGTTTGGGGGCAAATCGGGCTCACTGGGCTACCCTGAGATGCCCTGTTCCGTCAGGATCATTCAGGGTGTCCGACCTGACGAGGAAGGACACGAGGCCTGTTTGTTTGCACGAAAAATGAGGTTTCATGTGACTGAAAGGTTGTATGTCAGACAAAAGGTGACCTGAATTGCACTTTCAGCGCAGGGTACATGCGAATGAATCAGTTACCATTGGATGGCGCGCACAGCAATGGCATGCCCATTGAGTGTATCCTCATGACATGCATGGTTACGTCCTGACACTCCCACAGGAATGCACATGCGTGCTCGAAAGCTAGAGGACAGAAAATGTCTTGACATACGAGCTGTACTTTCCTTGGGTGAGGGATATATGTCAGCGATTCCCAAACAAGGGGGTTGAGATCTTATCAACCCGTACGGCACGTGGCAACAGATTTCCCACCACTGCCATGAAGCCTTGTGCAGTTTCGGGTCATCGGGCACTGCCAGAAAGGGATACATCTGGCCGGGTGTGGTTTTGAAATCATGTCTGATGTCGCTCTGTAAGGCTAACAAGATGCCTAAATGATGGAAAGAAAAGAGTAAAAAGGATTGGTCCTTGTGGAGAAAAAGAAATGGGAAGCGTTGGTTTGCTGTCAGGGCGGCATGCTGGGGATGCCTGCAGACAGTGGACTCCTGTATTTTTCTCAGACAGGAGTGTTATGGGGACCTGTCCACGCTACAGCTTTGAAAATAGAAAACGCTGGAAATGTAATTCAGAAAGACGTGGGGAAGTGTGACAGAAATTTCGCAAGGCCTCGCCAAACAGGCCACCATGCCCTGGAAGGAATGGGCTTGTTTTGATACCAATGAATCTATTCTTTTTTACTCGGGGCGCAGCCGCAAAATGTGTTGTAATTCCCCATTGTCTGACCCCCGTAATCATGTATGTTCTAATAAGTGGACCTGGGGTTCTGCTGTACTTAGGAGTGAACACTGAACGAGGGCGCATCAGTGAAAGTAATGTATTGTACTGTCTTTTCCGGTAGTTTGTGACTGAGATGGCAGCCAGCCATGGGCTGCCGTGGGCTGCGCGGAGGCAGTGAGGGGGACCATACGGTCACATGCATGTTGGGTGATGTTGACAGCACATGGGGGATTATATTAATAGATGGTTAATTGATGATCACTATAGTCCAAGAGTTAAGAACGCTCGATTTTCATCGTTGGATGGAGCCCACCTCGCTTAGGGAGGTCATATTTTATTTGGGGCATTTGGTTGA